CTCTATCATAAAATCTATCCAAACCTTTTTGCGTTTAAATCTTGCAAACCCCTCGATGTCGGAGGTCGATTTCTTTCAATTTTTCAAAATGACCTCGTCGTTCTATCGCAATCTAATGTATCTTGTCTTAAAGTAAACACTTCCAGCTTTCATTCGAGCCAAGTTGCATAGAAATAGCTCTATCTTAAAATCTATCCGAACCTTTTTCCGTTTAAATCTTGTAAATCTTGTAAACTCCTACGATGTCGGAGGTCGATTTCTTTCAATTTTCCAAAATGACCTTGTCGTTCTATCGCAATCTAATGCATCTTGTCTTAAAGTAAACACTTCTAGCTTTCATTCGAGCCAAGTTGCATAGAAATAGCTCTATCTTAAAATCTATCCGAACCTTTTTCCGTTTAAATCTTGTAAATCTTGTAAACTCTTACGATGTCGGAGGTCGATTCCTTTCAATTTTTCAAAATGACCTGATCGTTCTATCGCAATCTAATGTACCCTATCTTAAAGTAAACACTTCCAGCTTTTATTTAAGCCAATTTTCATAGAAATAGCCCCACGAGAACATATCTAAAATTTCATCCGAACTGTCGCTTTAAATTCGCGTGTAATTTTCTCGTCTTTTTCCCAGGTGTCAGAGGTCCGCTCGTTACACAATCTAATAGAAAAAAAGTCGGGAACCAGTCTCGTTTCGATTGTTTCGGTAGTTCTAGCGTCAAGTAAACAGGGATCAGACGTCATCGTAACGGCAAGAACGCGACCGTCGATAATGAAAACCGAAGAATTAGCATTAATTAAAAGATACCATCGGAAGCCGAAACGTGCGAGCGATAAAGATTTTCTCACCGCGATAATACCAATAATAACAACGCGAAAGCGCCGCCGATAAGATTGCACCAATCGCGAAACGCTTTCAAAATACCGAAACACGGTGGACTTGCCGCGCGTGACGTCAGGAAACATCCGCGGAACCCGGCAGCAGTTTCGAAACTGCGTTCGCGTCCGACGCAGGGGAGGCGTCGTCGATGAAATGTGTGCGCGAAGAAGCACAGGCGGGCCGACCCGTCTCGACGACCCCGCGCTCGCCACCATAATTTGTTAATCGGCAGGCTATCTTGTTAATTACCCGATAACGAGGCGATACGCTACGCTCCGCGGAATGAGATTCCGTTATCGCGCGCGCGGGCTCGTTTCGCTTTATCGCCGGACGGTTAAATGGTAATTTGCTATTTATTTTCCGCGAGGAAAGTCGAGTAATGCGAGCTATCGCCGCGTACCCGGTCGGCTTTGCATATCGACCACCGTCGCAGCTCCGCGCGGCCGAGCTGAAAACTCGAGGCGGCGTTTTCGGCTCGAGCAGCGGAACAGGACAGGCTTTCCCAGGGCTCGGGAGTGCCCCCCTTCCCCCTCCGACGTTCCGCCGATCGGGAGATAAAGCAAGCTCGGATCCGCGGAACGAAAGAAACTCCGCTCGATTTCGTGTAACCCGTTTAATTGGAGCGCTCCGGCGAACGGGTATTAATTTAGCTTCGATACGTGTCGGCAATAACGACATTGATACAGTTTTTGCCGCGAGCCGACCGGGTGCACGGCGAACCGCGGCCGTGCGGCCGCGAGAGGCGAGGAGGGGCGGGAGGGGGGAGAGGGGTCAGCGGCGAGCTAATTTCAACTTAATCGTCGTCTTATCGCAATTTACCGGAGCATAAGTGAGCCTTAATTGACTCGATCGCTCTACAAGGACTGGCCTGTTCCCCGGCTTGAACCACGGGGCACAAAAGGCGTTCGCCGGCAAAAAAGTTCGACTCGAACCGGCGCGTTTCTCGGCGGCGGAATGCGCCGGACGGTTCGGCTCGGTTCGGCTCGGTTCGATTCGGTTCCTAGAAAGTTCGTAAGCGAGATCCACCTTGCTTCGATCGCGTCGGCCCGATCACGCTGGATCCTCGAACGCGATCGAGCGAGAGCTCCCGGCAATTCTGACAGCGGGACCGGCTCAATGAGCCGGTGTCCACGGTCGCGCACCCCGTGTGTTTACACACCTTTCGCCGCGAGAACGAAGCTGCGATTGGCCCTGGATCGTTTGCCAGAGTACACGCAGGCTTGGACAAGCTCGTGAATAGATTCGCGAGGGACGATTGTTTAACCCTTCGCGCTCCACGCGTTTCTCGAGAGAAACTGTGAGATTCGCAACATTGCGAGAGCTTGTTTACGTAATGCTAATTTACGATTACAGTAATGTCTTGCTTATTGACGCTGAGATTGCGCACAAAAATAGTCAATTTGGGAAGAGGAGATACGATTATTCGAGCCTTGCGGCTCGTTTTTATAGTTGTTGACAATCGATAACCATAAACAGCTAGTCACAAGGCTCGAACAATCGATACGATTGTTCCAAAATTGTCCATTTTTGTGTGTCCACGAAAAGATGTGTCAGAGTTGCTGGTAGATAATACAGTAATGTCTCTCTAATTGACGCTCAGATTAGAGCGTTATTAGAGGTTACTATCTACCAGCAATTCTGGCACATTTTTGGAGCAAAGCGCCTGAGATAAAGGAAGTCTTATTTTGAGCGGAAAAGATTACACGTCCTTGCGATAGCGTTTGATTTTATTCATTTTATGTTGCCAAGTATAGAAATAGGCAAAAAATGTTTTAATCATAATGGTATCTACTTAACATTGTACGAGGTCAGTGCATCGACATCGTGAATTCTGACCGAAATTTCCAAGCAGCAAATGCATCCTTATCGAAATGGGTAAATTTACTATTAACGATATTCTTCGCAATTCTTAAATAAATATATCCCTCGTGTTCTTTGACGCGATTTATTATAAAATTAGCATCGCGAATCGTCCGTTGAATTCTGTTTGGATGCGGAATTATTGAAACAAAAATATCTTTTGCGCGATTTTGCCGGAATTTTTTTATTGTTAATCTTCGCTGGAATCGACTCGATCGATAATTAAATTAAATTAAAAATTAGTAAATATTCTTCGAACGTTCTAAAATAAAGTTGAACAGCGTTTTTCTGAAAAATATCACTACCAGCGATTCCGGCACATTTTTGGAGCAAAGCGCCTGGGATAAAGGAAGTCTTATTTCGAGCGGAAAAGATTACACGTCCTTGCGAAAGTGTTTGATTTTATTCATTTTATGTTGCCAAGTATAAAAATGGGCAAAAAATATTTCAATCGTAATGGTACACACGCTAAGCACGTTTTCACTACAAATAACAATTGCCAACGTCGACAAAAACATAGCATCTTCGGTGTAATCATGCTAAAAACATGAAATGACGGATGCCTCCATAGCGGAGCCGACCGGAGCGCTAAAGGTTAAAATAATATGGAAATTCGGTGGAATAGGGCAAATTCCGATTTGAGAGAAAATTCAGCCTGAATTTCCTTAGAATTGTGTCGGAAGATTCTGATGTTGCAGAAAGCGTTGCTAATGAGCCGAGGAAATAATGTAAAAATATTTAGATATTCTAACAGTTTTTTGTTTGTTTGTTTTTCCCGGTCTGTGTTTTACCTATCTACGTCGAGTATCGATGCATAAAATCATACGCTCCTCGGAATGAATGGTTAATTATGGGCGAGCGGAATGCGAGTTCTGTAACGTTCCGACACAAATATTAACCCGATACGTTTCGGGTTTGCATCCGGCTTGAATACGTAATAAAGACGAAGTATTAAAGACAACGATTAAAAAAAGAATGTTTAATGCTCGATGTGTGTTCGTGCCACTCGATCGTGCACGCGGACACTATTTGCATGCGTATGTAATTATTAGACCGCGGACTTTATGAATTTATAAAGGGAAACGATTAGATCGTATCGCGAAACAGTGAAAATATTTAAAGAATTTCAAAATGCTGCTACGATTACTTTTTCAACTGATTAATATTCTTCAGGAACGTAATAAATGTCTGCCGTGTATTTCGCTCCTGTATCTTGCAATTAGCGACGACAATTTTTATTTTTGCATAAAAATCCACGGTCTAGTAATTATATCTATTAAAGACAAAGATTAACGAATGCTTAATGTTCCGACTTGTTCGAGCAACGGACGACATGCTTCAACTGGACGCGTTATGGAAATGAAGAACAACTTACTTCGCGAAGAGACACTTCCATTCTCACCCAATATTTCAGTCGTCTATAACCACGGTCGTTTAGAAAACCGCGATAACTGCGAGCGAGCAGCTAATGACATCAATAACATCCACTCATCCGACAAGATACTTGAACGATCTTTCTGATTTAGATCGCTCCGATCTAATCCTCGATTTCTGATGTCTTTTGCATCCAGTGCGCGCTCGTTCCCGTAATGGATCGACAGTTTCGAGTCGGAGAACGTTTGTCACGGCAATTTCATCGAAAGAAAGATCCGCGAACTGCACGCGATAGACGCCGGTACGTGCTGCGAACACAATTACCCGGGAAGCCATTTTGAAACGGATGAAATCAGTGGAAGAAGACCATCAAACATAGATCAAACGCGATACATTCGTCCGGCGCGCCGGAGATTGCGGATCTTCGCGCGTTTATGTCATGTTCGAGTTAACGAACCACGAAAGAGCGCTTCTACTACGAAAGAATAGTAAATCCTTCGCGTTACCAGCAGCGAACGTTTCTCTGGTTTCGGTTTCGAAGCGAAAATAATCCGCGGAAGCGAGGAGATCGCATAAAGAAAAAAAAAACAGAAATAAAACCTAGCCGTCGATTTCGACCGTCGAGATCAAATCAATCACGATCCGGTATCGTTCGAGCGTCGTATCGAGCTCGACATAATAACGATAACATTGTTACAGTTGCTGAAAAATAGACGGCAGATTTTTCTGACAAATAAAAATCGATTACGAGACAGAACCTCTCTTTCGGTTGTTTTTACTTATTAATAATTTTAGTTACTCGAAAATAGTAAATAACAATAGCTCCTGAATATTCGCTTGAACCGTGTTCTGTCGTAAACATAGAATCGAAAATAAACAACAATCGACTCACTGTGCGATCTCTCGTTGTCTTCGGTCGCAGAGTCCGCTTCCTCTACGTCGACCAGGCTCCGAATGCTGAAAACGCTCTTGGCGACCCGCGTCTTCTGAAGGTCACCGACGCCCTCCGCGGCCCTCCTCGGCGTGGTGCTCAGGTCCATGGTATAGTCCTCGGGATCCGTTCTCACTGTCGTTCCAAGGTAGCGGAAACGATCCTCGGCGCAACGGGTGCGGTAAAATGGAGGAGCTCACGCGTCCTCGATCACTGTACACATCGGCACCACGGCATACCGATCGCTGCGCGTCGAGAAACGTGTCCCGGTCGTGCGACTCGCGCGGTGATCCACGTAAAAGCCGGCGACCCGAACAAAAGTTTCCTCATTCAGAGTATACAAAGAAAATCGTTGCCGTCCGATCAACGGCCGATCGCCCTCTAACATCTATTCGTTGGTCGATGCACCAGAGATTCCGAGCACTCGCCGATCGCCGCGCATCTCATGCCGCCGCGCCGAAAGGATGCCAATCTGGCCCGATGATCAACGCGATCGCGGTATCTCGCGTATTCTTATCGTGAATTCCCGACGAAATACCAGCGCAATATTCGACCGACCGGGGAGCCTCGGCTACGTCGGAAATTTGATACTTATCCGCGGCGGTCGATAGCGCGGATTTTATCGCGATCCGAATCTTCTTTGCTCCCAGAACTCGGTCCTCCGGAATCGAACGGGGCAGACGGCCGCCTGGATCCAGCCAGAAAACCAGGAGCTACTGCTATTAATGTTGCTGCTGCTACTCGCGATCGATCTGGTTGTTCGCCGGTTGTCCTCGGCGACGCGTACCATCGCAGACTGAAGAGACAAAATCGTCGCGAATATGTCGGGCAATAAGCCGGCGATTGTGTACCAACACGTCTGTCTCTGTTACCTGGAAATATCAATGAACCCGCGGCTCGTTGTTGCGTTTACCGATCGAGGTCCCTCATTCACGGGATTAGCCTCGGCCGGCCCGGCGACGATCTCCGGCGATCTCGGGTGATCTCGGTGCCACGGATCGGCGTGATCTTGTTTCGTGGTGGTCCCGCGCGGGCCCCCGAGGATGGGTCACACTCCGCGGCCGCGAGGACGGAAGGCCCAGGGCCCGAGGTTGTCCATGACGAGGTGGTTCGTCGCAGGAGCCCAGGCGCCGGCGGCCGTTTGACAGGTGAGCCCGAACAGGTGAGAGAGGACGCAGCGCGAGGCAAGTAACACGGTGCCACGCGACTACCTGACGAGAACCAGTGCCCGGCAGCGGCGAGCTAGCACACTCGTATCGCGAACTCCTGTTCGGCAATGTTCGCGCTCGCGTTCCCTCCACCTGGAGAAGGTCGAGCTGCGTCAAGGTGGTGCTCGGCGTAGGTAGAGGGGAAGGTGGATCGATGGGAACGCCTTCCACGAACAAAATGGAGTTTCCGAGGGGTCGGAGCTCCGCCTACCGTGATCCACCCACGAACGTTCCTCCCCGCGGATTCCTCTCGGCCGTTGGATCAGCCTACCGAGGCTGCTCTTCGCGAGATCCCATCGGGATGGTGATCCCCGGGTTCTCCGTATTGTTCCGGGGGCCTTGGCGCGCGAGATTACGAGAGCCTCGCGACGATTTTTTGTTGACACCGAGACGATGCTGGAACAAGAAGCGTTCGTAGTTCGGAGGATCGCCATCTTGAGGAGAACGACAGGTTGTTCACCTTGGTGCGACGTTGAGGTCCTTTGACCTCGGGACGTTTCGTTCTTTCGATTATCGTCCGCGCCGATCAAATATTTTCACATGGTTTTCTCAATGGTGGCTCTGAATTAACGACGCGTGCTTTTTAACATTCCGGAGGAAGCAGAGGGCGTACGAGGCTTCCTAAAACGAAGAATAAATTTAAGCCAGCGTTCTTAGCGTGGAATAAACAATGACGTGTATCGATGTGCAACGATAGAATAATAAATAGGACATCCTTACGTCGAACACGGTAACGAAGAACCTGTGGAACCACTTCGCTGACCATTGGTAACCTTTAGAGCTGCCTATTAACCGACGATCATAACATGTGTTAATGTAATAGAAACCTAATTATCTGGAATTCTTGGAATCGGCGCAACGTCGATCAATCAAATGTGCCAAATATTTGGTTCACACCCCTATTTTCTCCTTTGGTATCGCTTTGAAACGTACTTAACCACTTCAACGTTTGACGCGGGTGCGACTGTGGCGTTTCTTGCGGAGAAAATCTAAAGCTTATTTCGGGGTGCGGACAGCGCCACTCGAGATGGTGGCAAAACGCTCGAACTGTTAGCCAAAACTGACTATCGGTAATTTGGCTAACGTTTGAGCGTTTTGCTACTGTACCGACCGACGTTGTACGGACATCGATATATGCTTCAATTTTTCTCCACAATCGGCGCCACAGTCGCCCCCGAATCGGCGTCCCGATGTGCATACTGCACAGGTCGCCTAATTGAATTAATTATGGCAAAATTTGGAGCATAAAAACCTGAACTGAGGATACAGAATTATATTCGGGAGAAAATATTGTAAAACATAGTTAAATTACTCTTCGAAGTTTGGTTAACGCTTATGTTCATTAATTATACTTTGCATTGATGTTCCCTTTTCCAACGCGATATCGATGCAGCAGATTCTTCCAAATAGTTCCGTGATCTTGGTTTACTTTTTAATTGCCTAACTTTACCATAATTAATGTTTTTAAATGTCCTGCATGCGTTAGAATGAAAATGTGAAAAGAAATCTTTAGAATAAAATCATTGTACTAGATTTTCATCCTACTTTCCGTACTTAAAAAGTATGGTAAAAAGATATATATATATATACACATTCATCTGCTGCTCCGTTTTTCATTCCTAATTCATAGTTGAACAGTATCTGTTCTGGATATGGAAAGGGGATCCCCATAGAAATAACAACATCGATTAGACATGCGGAGATTTTCTCGATTTATTTTATACACTGTAGCCTGTAATTTTTTTTAAATATATTACGTGCGGCGTATTTAAAATTATCAATCGGGCGAGCAAGCATTTGGAACAGATCAGCTTCTCCTCGAGCATGGAGAGACCGGTTGGATATCAAGGATCTAGGTCTCTCTGCGATTAGGGGCTAAAAGAGCTTCGGTTTTTCGGTGGGCCTGCGATAATACTGTCCGTGACGGAGCTTCAAGGTGCTCCAAACGTTTCGACGACGTGTCCTTCCTCGCCCGATTCAACGAAAAATGGGAATCCTTCGGTTTCGAGCGGATAGGAACACCTGGAGTTCGTGATTTTGAACACTGTGGTCGTCAACTGAGACCAAAGAATGAAACTTTGGATGTGAGTCTGAACAGTCAGGATCGGTCAGAAGAAGATGTTGATGATTATGAACTGGGGATCGAGAAATAATTTAAATTGAAACAAAAACGGTAAATGGTTCGGAACGCGTATATCGACGAAAATTGAAGCGTTCTACTCGAACGAAATCGAAACGAAAAAGGACACTGAGGATAGAAGGTTGAAGAGTTCGAAGGACTCTGAGGAGAAAGAAGGATGATGACCTGGGGATACGGGAATAAATGTAAAGAAAAGGGGGCGACGGTTCAGAACAGAAAAATAAACGCGTTCCACCCGAACCGATTCGAAGCAGGAATCTACGGTCGAAGAAGCTCGACGTTCTGGCAGTGCTGTTCCTCCCTTCGAGACAATTTTCGAGAGTTACCCCTTACGTGAGAAAAGGCTTGTCCGCATTACATAGACACAGAGAGAGAAAGAGAGAAAGATAGATAGATAGAGAGAGAGAGAGAGAGAGAGAGAAATTAACGTACATCTTTGGCACAATAAATACGAATACACAGTATACTCATCTATGGTCGGTGTCTCGCCAATGGTTCGCGACTCAGCGATTTTGATCGGCAAAGAATCACGCGGGAAAAATAAAATTTAAAATGTACCGGCCACCAGCGGGACACCGAGGTACAAACGCTCGGTTCCTGATCGATCACCACGCGTGAGATCCTTCGAGTTTTCCTCGCGCGCGAACTCACTCGTCGAACGAAAAGAAGGAAGGAAACGAAACAAACGATCCTGAACGAACCTTGCGACGCGGGGGTATCAAGGATAATTACACTTAGCACCTAACGGGGTTCTCGTTGCGATGATTATTACTAAATCCCGACGGCGCTCGATATCGAGTTACGCGTCTCCGTTCGAAAATTATGATTAGGGGCGTTCGCGAAACGCGGTACAATAAAATCGCGGTCCTCTCGGCTCGCGTGAAATCAGTTAATACCTAGGCCTTAACTATATGTAAACGCACGTTCGAACGATTCAAGGAGGATCCTTCGACGGGGGTCGTCGTCGACGGTCATCGTCGGCGACTCGCATTGAAAAATTCCTAACTAACTTATCCAACGGTCTCGCGCGGAGACCTGCCTACCTTGCTGTTGTCGATCACGTTCGCGTTTTGTTTTTTTCATTCCTTCGAGACTAAGAGAACACGGGCAAAAGTCCAGCTTCCTCGTTGGGTGTGCTTGTCGTCTATTAATCAAATCCTCGAATACAAAGTGGAACGGAGAAACCGAACGGTGGGTTACTAGGGGTTGGTTTCATCGATGTGGGTTGAGGTACGTCGGGGGTTGATCGAGGGGGATGGGGGGGTTGTCTGCACGTCGAGAGAATTTCGATGTCTTCGCGGTTTTGATTCGAGTATTGTTACACGTTACGATATAGAAACGTCGCGCGATTAATTCCTAACAGAAAGCGAGAGCTGCACCCCTGGCAAGAGGCATTCGATCGGGCGATTCGATTCGACGTTAATAATTATTCAGACATTTGGCGTCGTGAGATTCGTCGTACATGAAACGAGTGCTAACAGAAAATTGATCGTGTTCGACATTGGTCTGAGAAAGGGAGTCCTCCCTGTTGCCCAGAGACCTAGAAACTTTGCAAATCGCTTTCACAAGCCCGCGGGGCAGTGCGTCGTTTAACTAGGTGCAGACACGACGTGCAGAAATTCGTTCGCACACCTAACATATTCGATAGAAGCGCGAGAACGTTTACAATTTTTCTATCATATAAGCTTCCTAAACACTGAAACGAATCTATCGCCGAGCATAATTTACGATCGAACGTTTCCTGCCAGCGGTGGTGTGCCGTATGTCGAGATCTATCGCTGTTTGATTTTCTAGCATCGGCCCTCGGTTCCTCGACGAGTGGCCTCCGCCGCTAATTATACGCTAGTCCTGTCCCTCCTCCGTACAAAGATACGCCTGTCCTCCGATACAAAAGTTTCGTAACACCTAATCGAATGTCATGACTTGATCGCACAGTCTATCCTCGACTACTCTACAGCCTGGGGTGGTTCTCGCTGCGCGCGAAACGAGGGAGAAGTATAAAATTGAGTCTCTGTCGTCGTCCTGCTGGTCTTTCTGGTTTCTCTCCGGAGACTCGACCGATCCTGCCTGGGTCACGATCGAGCAGCATCACTGGTAGCCACCGAGGATCGCGATCCTGCGACCGGCGATCGTCTCAGTCCGCGGAGGCATCGAGCGAAGGGGACTGTCGGTCTTTGTGGGGCACGCGCCAGCATGGGGCCCCGTTGCTCCACAGTTCCATCGCGCCGTTCCATCGCAATGAAAACGTGGCAGCCGGGTCCTCCTTTTTCCTGGGCCCGATCGACCCGATCGAGTCCCGCGGGCTCGATTATATCGTCTGGCGCTAAGCGGGCACGTGGTTCGGCACGCTCGACGAGGACGTTTGCAAAGGCGACCGCGTCTGATGGAACCTCAGCAGCTCCGACACCGTCACCGCCACGCGCACCACGCCTCTGCCACCCTCCAGAACGTCGCTAGCGCAGCACACCAAATTCTGCAAGCAATCGTCGTCCGAATAATTTATCTTTGCCTTACGAGCATCGCTGGAGATTGGGCACAAAAATACAGAGCAATGATCGTATGGTATAGGGTTGTTACCAAAGACAGTTTCAATGGTTTAGAAGAACTGTTGAAGACTTCGACGTTTTTGGGCTGGCTTGTGTTTACTAGTGGTACTCTGGAGGCTTTGATGTCGGTACTCTGATATTGTGGATACTTGTGCAGGATCATTTTTTTTGCCGGTTCCCTGCAAACCTTTAAACGTCAATCGCATAATTTTATCATCGACGCAGCCCGTTTATCAATGAATAGTAATGATTTTGCTGATGCTCGAAGTGTACCAGTACAATCCAGAACCAATTTCGTTCATCGTCTTCAACAGTTACTTCTTCATAAGATATTGCAACTGCCTGTTCCTTTTTTTTGATAACGCAATATGAAACAATGAGAGTTAGCGATAGTCGTTTCAACGTGACCGATTTTAACCCTGCTGCGTTTTCATTCATTTAACACCGTTGTCCCTTTCTTAGTCGCATTTTTAGTTCTCCGAAAATAATGTCTTACTTGAAAAATCCATACACAGGGTGTCCCAGAAATATCAATGTCAAATGGCAATCCGGAAATGGGGGATTCCCGAGGTCATTCGAAGTAACTTTTTCCTTAGCGAAAATGCGATCCGCGGCTTTGTTTACGAGCTATTAACGAAAAACACTGACCACTGAGAGGCGAGCTCGTCTAACGCTAGGCGGACGCCTCGCGTCAGCCGAGCTCGTCGCTCATTGGTCAAGATTTTTCGTTAATAACTCGTAAACGAAGCCGCTGATCGCATTTTCGCTAAGGAAAAAGTCACTTCAAATGACTCGAGGAACCCTCCATTTCAGAGACATTGTTGGGAAGAATTTTTCATCGATATGTGCTAAATCTAAGCTAAAGGTCGCGGCAGGGTTAAACGTGAATCGTGGCAAGTATCGTGAACAGTGTAATTTCGTGTACGTGTTTGAAGCATTTCTGGACGTTGTCGAATATATCGAGACCGTGTTTATGATAGTGTGACATTGTGCTGAATCTGATTCTGTTTTACGATGCATCCGAGATGACTGTCTAGATGAGTATCGTCGTTCAGCATCAATTTTACCAAAAGAATATTTTATTATCAGTGGAAATAGTGTTACAATCGTTATCGGTTAGTCGTACAATCGATGTTACAGAGTACGTTTCTCGAATGCAAAATGCTTTCCAACGACCAATGTGATTGCTCGGGACCGATCGGAATAGTCTGACCGGTCGCGATTCGTAGATATTTAGGTCTGGCAGTTGTAAATTCTCATTGTGCGTCGCGGTTCAGAGATTGGGCGCGAACGAGTTCGCGGTTCGCCGTGGAATCGTTTTATAAAATGATATGAACGAGGGACATGGGGTGTCGCAATTAATACTAACGCTTCCCGATCAATCCTCAACGTCGACGTGGAGTCTGAAGGACTATGGAATATCGTGTAAAAACGACACACACTGTTACATTCTTCGGAATCGATGAAAGTAGAAAAAGATATTATTTTCCATTTAGATCTGCGGTTCGGTCCAGTTAACGCAAATAAAGTGCACATCGGTGCAATCGAAATTGACGCGAACGCTTAGAATGTCGAATTTGTGGGATGAAGAAGTTGGCTCAGAGTCCACCTCGGCGGTCAAGGATTAGATCCAAGCTTCGATTAGGCCATTGGCGAAATCCGCGAACTCGTTCGGCAACCCAACGATGGCCATTTCTAGAGGCAAAATATTGTAATTCGTTTCCACGGATCGATCGATGGATCTGATTGACGATCGATCGGTGGAACGCAAATCGAATAGGAAGAAAAGCTTTCCTATCTCGACGATCGTAGAAAAAAGCTTAAGCTGACAAAAAAAAGACAACAAGATAAAAATAAACGAAGCACCGATTTTTTTGAGAGCGATCGATTCAAGCTCGTTAATTCGATTAAGTACAATTTGAGAAACAAAAATATGTCCAAAGAGGGATGTAGCTTCAACGTACCATATATCTGTGTTCATACAATAAAGTATGATATATAATAATAATAATAATAATAATAATAATAATAATAATAATAATAATAATATGTGTATATATACGCACTATTTACTCTCTCATTCACACGCGCGTTCATTCACTCGTTGTGCCTTTCAGATCTTTACAAAAATTATACAATTATACAAGCTAATGCAACGGAATGATTTTGTTCTGTTCGGTCTCGTTATCACGCGTCTCATCTACTATCATTGCAACGAGAGTAGAATCGACGATGCAGCCTCTAAACGGAAGCGACAAACTAATCGTCGGATAGAGGAATAATAATTTAAAAAAAAACAAAACAAAAAAAACAAAAGGAAAGACCAGAGCCGCGGCAGTTGTTGCAGCGAAGAACGTCGTCAAGATAGACGAATGATAAATTATCGTGTAGATCCAGTCTTACGGTTGCGATTCGATACGATGCGCTGACGCGTCTTCTTCGATCCTGATCGAAGTAATACTGATTGGGGAAACCACGGGAACCCGTCAGCGCTCGAAACAGTCGATTAAACGACGACGTCGATTCGACGGAAGTAAGCGGAAGAGACGAGGAACATAGACGAACTAAAAAAAAAACGAGATTAAGTAACCGGCTAATTAAGCGTCGACGTAAACCGTGTTAACACGACTCGAGAGGGTATATCCGGATCGACGTTTTCCGGCGTCATCTAAAACAATGAAATGTCTAAGATTCGTCTCTGCAATGATGTCCAAAAAATGTCAAAAATTCTGAAAGTTGCGACGACTTTTGGATTTCGGATTTTTGGTGCCGGTGAAATCGTCCGCCGCGGATGCTTCCGCTTGATCGTCTGCGCGCGGCGCATCTGATTTTGATTCCTTTTCGTAGAGAAATTTACGAGCGTCGTTGTATACACGGACGAAAGTTCCGTGCCAAGTTCCGCGGAAGAAGGTTCCGCGGTTTCATGGGGGAAAAAATCCCAAAGTCGACGTGGAACGGAACGCGCCCCCTCATAAGCGGGAAATAAGAAGGAAACTATAAAAGAGCTGACTAGAACCGGGGATTAGTAACACTTACGATTATAGAAGTAATACCGAGGACTAGAAGCGGACCAACGATTTTGTCGGCGATCGACGCGAAACGCGTGTACGCAGCGGAAATGGAACTTATCTCGATTCGAAGCGGCGCGGTGCTTGGGATTCCTTGGAAGATATAGCTCACCGCAGTGAGCGACCATAAGTTGGTGCGCTCGTTATCTCGACAGCGAATACACGTACGTTTACCATAAACTCGGGATACAACGAGATTCGTATAAAAACGATAATGATACGCTTTGGAGAAACTGGCTGCGAGCCTAGCTGTCCGTAGACCGTAATGAGAAAAGCCGTTCGTTTCACGGGGAAACTCCTTTGTGCGTGTTCCTCGGAGAGAATTGGGCAGGCGTTTGGCACTGTACCTTCGTGAAACGTGTCGTGACCGTTCTGCGGCGACCGATTTGCGATCACCGCGCTGCCAATTTCTCGCGTTTTCTGTCGCACGTGGAAGCAAGAGAGACAACGCAGAGAAGCTCGGGTGAACTTCTAAAATTGCCAGATATATTTACGTGAAACGGCAGACTGGCGACAACAAATCGGCAGCCGCAGTTAACGCTAGAACCACCGAGCCCCGACTAATTTATATTGTTTTGCAACAATGACAAGATTGAATTTATTCAAACTTCCTAGGACTTTAATTATAATATGTGCTTAAATTATACGAAACTCCTTTAAAAATTCGTAACGAAAACATTTTTATGGTATCAGCAGTTTTGTGAAAGACAAAATCAGAAACCGGTCATTTTGACCGATTTGGTAGTTCTAGCGTTAAGGTCCGAGCGTTATTGATTGCGTGAGCCAGAGTTGGGAAAATTCTTTTATCTTTCGTTCGAAAAGAACGCGCGTCTTCAACGGAAGGATCACTTTTGCGTTTGACGTGTTCGTACCGAAATGTTCTGCACGGAAAATGGCAAATCGATTCGTTGGTCCAACTCTGGCCGCGAACCACGCTGCGTCTGAAATTCTGAAATACGAACGTAATCCGGAAGCAAATGTTTCTCGCGACTCGAAGACTCGTCCCCGCGAAAATCCTTACCAACGTAGACACAGTTGTCCCTTACCGTATGAATATATTAGACGTAGAATACGATATACGCGTGCACGCTCTCTAAACCTCTATACGATACACGTACTTTGTCCCGCTCTTTTCCTTCATACTCGCGCGTTTATATGAAAATATGTAGAACATCTTAGGCTACGACCGAATTGCTTGGCCGGTGAAGTGATGTGAATGCTGTCGTTCGTTGCCGTTCCGAAACTGAACGGACCGGGGAGAAACAGAGGAAAAACAGAAGGCTCGGGGATCCCATGAATCGACGCCGAATATCTGCGAGCCTAGACACGTAAAATCAGAGATCTTGAGTTTGATTAAATTTCGGAGTTCCACCGATCATTTTGTTAATGTCTGCAGAATCGGATCGAGAAGAATGGAAATTTAACCACTTGCGCTGGTAAGACGTGCCACGCACGTCGTAATGCTTTTGTCACAGAATTGCCAACGACGTGATGCGATTGTCACAGAAACGCGCATGGCACGTCGGGTGGGATTGTTTGCCAGAGCAAAGATTATCATCGCACTGCGTAGCGTAGAAAAAAACTATTAAAAAAGTCCTAGATCGAAAATAAATTAATTTAGAAAATATAAATCTTTTTTCGATTTCTCTGACGCATCGAACACTTTGTGACTCCTTCCAGCGAGTTACACTGGACCGTTCTGGTACACGCTACGGTTAATTTTTTGCCAGCGCAAGTGGTTAATTCGTGGATCGCGTCTTTTCCGAATTCCGTCAACTAGAATTGCGGTCACAGTTGCGGTGACTGGCGTCGGTTCGAGGATCCCTTTGTTTTAGCCTCGAGGGACCCGAATCTGGATCGACGCGCCTCCCGCGCGAACCAAGGAGACAACGCTGGAACGAAGAGACCGTCCGAAGTCCGAGTGTGCGTTAAACATCTACGTACCAAAATAGGAAATCCTCGAAACAGAAAGAGATTTCTAGCACCTTGTTGCGAATTCTGTAGTACTCGAAGGCTACCTATCACAGACCCATCAATTCTGAAAGAGCCGTAGGCGATTTCATTTGGTCGAAACGTGTTTAAAAAAATACTACCATCCATATCATTCTCTCATTTGTCTGCTTGAACCGGACCGTCCGGTCGACGGTCCCACGCCGCGGGTGTACTTTCTACCGGTGAATTCCATTCGATTGTTCTGCCATTCGTGTGTCCGGATCGCGAGAGATTCGTCAACAATGATTTAATGATTGAAAACGGCGCGTGAAAATTTTCGACGATCGCATGATGGACCACCCGGTTCCGCCGTTTTCTTTTCGTATAGGAAAAATACTATTATCTCGAGATACGACGGCACAGTCCCCGTTCGACTGTAGCGACCGATCGTTCAACAATTTCAAGTTCGATCCGATACAAGAGCGTTCAGCGGCTTTGATTTCTTTGCGTTCTTTGATTCTGTTATTGTTCGTCGCGAAAACTGACCGGGGCCCGCGTCAAAGAGCAGGACACGGAGACCCCGGTCGGAGGTCTTATCGAAGAGATACACTTATCTATCCTACGCACTACGTAGCGGTTTCTACAACTAGGCGGGCTAAATGTATGATCAAGCTGCCTGCTGACACAACTTAGGGTCTATCGAGTAGTACTTGGGCGCCGGCGCGGCGGCCTCGAGGCATCTATGTCGAAACAGCGACTTTACGCGCGGATAGATGGATCACCGAACAAACCAGCAAACCGGGAGTTCACAAGCGAAGCTAGCGGCTCACCGTTCGATCGATGTGCCTCGATTCGCGGTAGCGGTTCGTTGGGCGAAAGGGCCCAGGCATGGGCGATTCAGAAGGTACGGACTTTACGGAGAATTCGACGGGAGATCGTCTGTAATCGATTAAATAGTAGTGGCATGTTCACAAGTGGGCACAGTAAGCCTTTAAGCCCCGAATAGGCATGCACGACTTCGTTGCTCTCGGAGTAACTATGTAACCCATGCCTGAGCCAGGAGAACGAGACACTTTCGACCACGATGCGAAGAGTTGCCGATGATCGCCGATTTTTTCATCCCCGATTCGTCCCCTCGGATCGCGGTGTCATGATTAATTGATGCGCGTTGCTTCGGGCGATTTTCAAAGTAAAAATGCTTAGCAGTTTGGCGTATACGAACGGACGTAAGCGTTCCAGTGCTCGAAAGTCCTGGAAAATGTCACCGAGGGTCGGAATAAGGGCTCGCCGATTGTCGGCATCGATGTCAGCGGGTACTTCTGCGCGACACTCGGTCCTCTGCTCGGCGAAGCGAACGGACGCGAACAAGAAACCAAAGAGGAATGGAGAACAAGGATAGAACTAGAAATACTGAGCCTTGCTCTAAAGGTGCTAAAATGGTGCGAACGAGGCAGGGAGAGTATCGCGCGGCAGTCTGATCGAGCGACTCGACGGCTCGGCGACGATGGCTCGTCGAACGAACGAAAACCCGAGCTCGACGCGCGTCGGACGTTTAATCCCATCTTCGATCGTGCTCTATCCTCCGAGCGTCGATCCGTCGTTTCGCGCTCTGGCGTTCTCGTCTTCCGTCGCTCTTCTCTGTTCGCGGGCTTAGTCGGGGATCGGGAATAGATAGAGCAGAACGAGGGTGGAGAGGAATGCGGCGAAAAGCATCGCGGACAGAACGCGGTCCTGAATCGTACGGGGTGAACCTGCGGCCGACTCTTCGGCATCGTTCGCTCGTTCGTCGCGGAGGAGGAGGAGAGCGGAGACGAGACGCGCCAGAGCCTCCAGCCCGTACGCGTCCATGTAACCCACGTCCATGATTGCGTCCGCGTCCAATAACACCTCCTGCAACACCAACAACGATACTACTCAGTCCCAATCTCTACTTCGCCGCCGCTCGGTCGTGTCTTCTCCGAGCGCAGGCTGCTTCGCCACACCGAGATCACCCATTTAGGGGATGAAGAATCATCCTCTAAGATGGTGATCCCTAAGAGGTCGGAGCAGCCTGCGCGACCCTGCTCTCTCTCCCTAGCCCCTTCTCCCTGTTTCTCTTGCCGAAGCGACACCTTCCTCGAGATCGAATTCACTCGACAGAGACAAAACACGGTCTCTTCGAGGAACAACGAACGGAGATCATCGTTTCGGAGACTGGGCGCGTCGGAACGTCGAACGAACACGTCGAAGAAGGCGGAACGATCGCGAGCATCGATCCGGGGAGGTGCGATCAGGGTAGAAGACTCTCGGGAACCGCGTTGCACAGCGGCTCTCCGACCAGCGACAGACAAGCGAGCACGAGGTGTCTAGGCGCATGCAAAACTACTCTTCAGCGTCTGTTCCCCCGCGATCCTTTCCTCGAACAGCGAAACACGCGCACCGGCAAGAAACTGACCGCGACTCAACCGAACTCGGGGACTGACTAGTAGTTGTTGGAAACATCATGGACAAACGTACCTAACGTCGACGGCGGGTCCTCGTTCGGCGCGAGCGTGGCTACCGCAGAGAAGTGCGTCGGGAAAGACGAAGAGAACATCTAAGAGCGACAGACAAGCGCGCAGAATCTCGGGAGAAGGATCATGGGACAGGAGCGTCTGCTTACCTCGTCTACGCCGATCTTGCGGCACGCCTCCAGGAAGTTGTCCACGTTGCGTCTGCATCTGGCCATCGTCAGCTTGGGCTGCGAATGGAAAAAGTTCGTTTCGATTCAGGGTTCGGAGAAATTTAGACGAACCGATGGCGAGATCGGAGCTCTTACCACTGCGGGCGAAGGAACGTGGATGCTGGCGACCGATCGGGGTCTCACGTGATTCGCCAGATGGCAGAGGACCACTCCGTCCGTTAGCGCCGGGGCTAGATCCTCCGGCAACGCCATCTTCAACCTTGTCTCTATATGCTGAAAATGATTCGAGACTTGTATCGACGATCCTTTTCGATAGTCTTAAATGCAAACTCACGTTTCTGAGCTGCTCTATCAAGTCAGCCTCTTCCTTGGCACGCTCGAACTCCCTTCTCATGGTGAACGAGTACTTCTCCGGCACGTTGCTGTTCCAGGTGACCGACCGAGGAGATTTCGGACTTCCTCCGTTTCTGCTGGGACTCTTGTTACCTGCAGGACATCGTCGCAATTACATTTTGTCATCGGACGGAGCTACAGAAGGATATACTCTTTCGAAAGACCCACCTTCCACGTAACCGACGGCAGTCTTGACTAGTCTTGGGGTGTGTCCAGGGCTAGTGCCCGAAGACAGGATGCTCGTCGAGGTCTTGATGGGCGAGTTAGGCTTCTTGTACGGTTGCTCCAGGTACTTTCCATTCTTGTTGTTGTACTCGTTATTGCTGCCGTTGATGATTGGCGTGTTTTGATAGTTGATGCGCGACGGCGTCACCTTCTGCACCGGTCTCTTGGTAGCGTTCTCCTCGTTGAAGATCTGTTTACCGGTTAAAGCGACCGCTTCCTTGTTATTGCTCGAGTCAGTCTCGTTGCTCTGAGATTCGTTTCCGGGTGGCGTAACCTGCTCACGGGGTCTGTACACGCTGGGCCCCTCGCTGGCCCTTTGTTGTCGCAGGGCTTCTTTGTACTCCCTGAAAGTGTATCGTTCGATCAGATCGCTTGGAATACAATGGAGCAATCGAAAATGTTTGAACACCTCTCGATTCGATACCAGACGTGTTACGGAGCAAATACAACAATGGCGTACATACCTGTAAGTTTGGATGTGGTTCAGAGGCCTCTTCTCGTCCCCGTTCAGCAACGAGGTAGAGGCCGGGGTAGAGTTCTGCAGAGGCGTAACCGGCTGCGTGTTCGTCGTGATCGACTGGGCCTGGCTGAGATGGGAGGTCTCGAGAGGCCTGGAACGAAGCATCGAATTATCAGTCTGTGAACGATTATCAGTGTCTGATCGGCTTAGGAACGGCTCGCTGGCTTACCCCGGCGGCGTAATTGACGCGTGGTAGAGGCCAGAGGTCATCGGTCTCCTGACGTCCGCGCCATTCTCCGAGGTGCTTCTCTCCAGTCTCCTCTTCTCCAATTGATCGTGCAGTATCATCGCCTGCGTAGAGAAAAAGGATCGTAGAAAAAGAAGCCGAGCCTGTGGTGGTTCGCGCCAATCGGAACGTCGCGTTCTTTCAATGGGTTAAGGTCGTTCAACGAGGCTTGAACGACGGCCAAGCGCGCCGCGGCAACACAGATATCATTTCCAAGAGGCAGGGTTCTATTCAATCGCTAAATATAGACGTTGTATCATACGGCTCGGCCCCGGAGCGGGCCACGCTCTCGCGGAAACCTCTGCCGAGTCTGGAGGCCGGACAACCGAAAAATTCAGTTAGCAGCCGAACGAACGGCTCCGTGGTTCTCACCTTGCCGAGTTCATCCTCGAGAGACGTGTGCTCGCCAGGTGAGATGGTGCTCGGCGTTGAGGTCCCGCTACACGATCCGTTCACCACCGCGTGCTCATGCGGCAGAGTGATCGAAAGCGGCGAGCATTCTTGCCGCCACAGACCTCGAATCTCGCCGTCGTGCACCTGCGCGCAAAAACGTGTCCAGCAGGAGGTACTACGGGAGATCGTCGACATCGTGCGTGTGTTTGCTGTGTTTTATTTATCAGTGTATTTGTTTGTTTCTACATGAGCGGTAGCTAGAGTTGTTGGCGCATTCGTTCGAACAGTCTGTGATCGTTTTAGCGTAGCAGGAAGCTAAAAGTGACTCGGGAGAGTTTACAAATCACCGAAAATTATTGTATCGTAAACAAAAAATTTTCAATAAAACATGGTACCTCTGTTAGTTAGTTCATGAAAATGGAGTTAGTCGCGTGCTTTGACCGCGGTCACAAATTCTTCACAATTCCCAGTGCCCTGGATATCTTAGCGGTTCGAGGATCCTGTTCTACATCGGATCGAAGGTATCTACAGGATCTACAGGATCTAAAGGATCTACAGAGTCCCGGCTGTCGAACAGCATGCGGTGCAGCCGGTGAAGGAATCGCAGAGTGAGGAAAATTGCTAGAACAGGGGCTAGGAGACTAACCGCGCTGTGAATTTCTTGGGACCAGCGTTTGTCGACGCCGTCGCTGGTGCTGTAACCACTGTCGACGTTGTGCCGTCTGTGAGACCTCGTGTCCAAGGTCGCGTGTCCTCTAACGTCCAAAGGTGTCCTCCTCCCGCGACCGCCTCTAGCCCTCTCGTGCTTCGCCGCCTGTCTCTCCAGATACTTGAAGATGTGCGTTCGCCCGCGAATGCATAGCTGCAATTTCCATATTAACAATTATTACTGAACGATGCGCTTCGCGGATCATTGTTCGGAGATCGAGCACGTTTGCTCACCGAGGCAGGCGGCGAGGTTAAAGGGTTGTCCGATAGCCGAAAGTCCACTAGGCTCTTCATCTTCCTCATCTCGTTCGGAAGCACGGATATCCGGTTACCGCTGATATCCAGCTTCACCAATCTCAGGTACGTCAGTTCTGCGAACACGATTCGAACGATGACTATTCATCGACGTCTTCTACTTTGGAGAAGCGTTAGAAGATTGCTGGCCAACCTCTCCGATCGTTGCGAGCAATGACTCAGCGGGGGCAAGCAGGGTTAAATCGATACCTATTTATTCCCCCCGTTTCCTTTTTTCATTCATGCACCAGGGGGTTGCCGAACCCCGTCGCATATTAATAAACAGACTGCGGATCTTTACGCGAAATAAAAATTGCCTCCGTAATTTTCAGAACATAGGATCCAAGCACTGGTTAATAACGTTAATAAGTTCGAATTAATGCATCGACACATTCGTAGCTTCTTTTAACCTTCGCAACGTTTCAAGTTGTGCCAACGCATTTTTATCACAAACGCATAAGATCCGCAGTCTATTAATAAATAAACGAACGAAGCGTGGAGCCTCTACAGGGTGTACCAAAAATGTCTCTCAATCCGAAAGTGGCGGGTTCCTCAGGTCATTTGAAGCAACTTTTCCCTTTACAAAAATTTTCTCCGAGGCACCATTAACGAGCTATTGACGAAAAATAGTGACCAATTAGAGGCGAGCTCAACTGGCGCGAGGCGACCGAGCCAATGAGCGGAACTGGGTTTCGTGCGCTGATTGGCTGGGCCGCCTCGCGTCAGCCGTACTCGATTCTTATTGGTCACTGTTTTTCGTTAATAACTCGTTAACGGTGCCTCGGAGGAAATTTTTCTGAAGGAAGAAGTTGCTTCAAATGATCCGAGGAATCCGCCATTTCTGGATTAAACATTTTTGGGACACCCTGTATAAAAGAAAACCTTATCGAAGCAGAGGAGAAGTTCACAGGAAAAGTTCATCGCGCGTCGAAGGGACATTCACCCGAGGATTGCGACTCTAAACGTCCTAATCATCTCGGTCAGCGTTGCTCCGTTTCACGGAAGAGCTCGCTTTCGGAGAATCGCCGAAGGTTTCGCAGTATAGCTCACCAATAGGCAGGTGCACGAGCATGTTGCTCCTGAGGTCCAGCGACCTGAGCCTCGCGAGATCGCCCATCCGAGGCGGCAAGCTCGTGATCTCGTTGCAACCGGCGTCGAGCTCGGCCAACGCCGACATTCTGCCCAATTCGTCCGGAAGCGACGCTAATCTATTGTGTGCGACCAGCAACGTTTGCAACGGTAGCCTGCATATCTCCCGAGGTAGCGACGTCAATTGGTTCCGGCTGCGGACAAAAGTTTAATCACTATCGAACCACCTCGGCAGTCGTACGGCGTCCGCGCGGTCGCCGTTCAGCTTCTGTCGTCCAAGGACGTACCTAAGATCGAGGTAGTTCAGCGACTGGAGNTCTACAGGGTGTACCAAAAATGTCTCTCAATCCGAAAGTGGCGGGTTCCTCAGGTCATTTGAAGCAACTTTTCCCTTTACAAAAATTTTCTCCGAGGCACCATTAACGAGCTATTGACGAAAAATAGTGACCAATTAGAGGCGAGCTCAACTGGCGCGAGGCGACCGAGCCAATGAGCGGAACTGGGTTTCGTGCGCTGATTGGCTGGGCCGCCTCGCGTCAGCCGTACTCGATTCTTATTGGTCACTGTTTTTCGTTAATAACTCGTTAACGGTGCCTCGGAGGAAATTTTTCTGAAGGAAGAAGTTGCTTCAAATGATCCGAGGAATCCGCCATTTCTGGATTAAACATTTTTGGGACACCCTGTATAAAAGAAAACCTTATCGAAGCAGAGGAGAAGTTCACAGGAAAAGTTCATCGCGCGTCGAAGGGACATTCACCCGAGGATTGCGACTCTAAACGTCCTAATCATCTCGGTCAGCGTTGCTCCGTTTCACGGAAGAGCTCGCTTTCGGAGAATCGCCGAAGGTTTCGCAGTATAGCTCACCAATAGGCAGGTGCACGAGCATGTTGCTCCTGAGGTCCAGCGACCTGAGCCTCGCGAGATCGCCCATCCGAGGCGGCAAGCTCGTGATCTCGTTGCAACCGGCGTCGAGCTCGGCCAACGCCGACATTCTGCCCAATTCGTCCGGAAGCGACGCTAATCTATTGTGTGCGACCAGCAACGTTTGCAACGGTAGCCTGCATATCTCCCGAGGTAGCGACGTCAATTGGTTCCGGCTGCGGACAAAAGTTTAATCACTATCGAACCACCTCGGCAGTCGTACGGCGTCCGCGCGGTCGCCGTTCAGCTTCTGTCGTCCAAGGACGTACCTAAGATCGAGGTAGTTCAGCGACTGGAGCAACGACACCGTCTCCGGTATTATTCTTATGGCATTGTGGTAGAGGTGCAGCTTCTCGAGGAACGGGAACTCGGTGACCTCCTCGGGCAGCTCCGCGAAACGGTTCTTCGACAAATCTGCAACAAGAAGCCGGTAATTGCTCACTTTGTCCAATCGACGATAACTGAGGAATCAATCGGTATGCGAGCGATACGTGAAATACAGCAGAACCCCTCTTTCATCCGACCTGATCGGAAGGTCATCGATGCCAGAGTTGGGCATTATTCGAATACAATTTTATTCAACTCACGTTTCGAATCGAATTTCGTCCGAATATAATTTTATTCGAATAATATATCGAATAGAATTTTATTCAACTTTCATTTCGAATCAAATTTCATCCGAATACAATTTTACTCGAATAATATATCGAATACAATTTTATTCAACTTACGTTTCGATTCAAATTTCATCCGAATATAATTTTATTTGGATTATATATCGAATACAATTTTATTCAACTTACGTTTCGATTCAAATTTCATCCGAATATAATTTTATTTGGATTATATATCGAATACAATTTTATTCAACTTACGTTTCGATTCAAATTTCATCCGAATATAATTTTATTTGGATTATATATCGAATACAATTTTATTCAACTTACGTTTCGATTCAAATTTCATCCGAATATAATTTTACTTGGATAATATATCGAATACAGTTTTATTCAACTTACGTTTCGAAGCAAATTTCATCCGAATACAATTTTATTCAACTTACGTTTCGAATCAAATTTCATCCGAATACAATTTTATTCGAATAATATATCAAATAAATTCTTCGAATAAAGTTACATTCGTCGTTTGTAATTCGATTAAATTCGATTAAAATATGCTCGACTCCGCTTGTCGAAACAGTTTCTGGAATACAACGCTGAAATACAGCCTCATTGATTCGTAAAACGAATTGTGTTGCAAAATATGCTCTTCCATATATGCAAAATATGTCCTACTACAACTAAAATCTCGATTACTCGAACTAATTACGTCGGCATAGATGTTCATTTCAGGACAACCTATCGCAAACTGCATTTTCCAACTTGTACGATCGATTTTCACGGACTCCGGTTCTTTTGATAAACGAATGGTGGCAATCGGTCGAGTTTGCAGTCACAGGAAATGTTGCTACCGATGCAAGAACGTTTGCAGGGGTGTTGTAGTCTTAATCGGCCGTGCCCGAACGGGCCGACGCCCTTTGCCCGACGATTACGCGACCGACCGTGTGCCAATGGTTCCACGTTCCTCGTTTCCACCCTATGGAGTCATCCCTATTTAGACCATGGGCGTGTGCACAGGGGAAACGCGACCATTTCGACAGAATGTGTCTTCAACGTATAAAACAGCGCGCGGATGATCATCCAACGCGGGGGTAACTTGTTTCGACAGAAGCCAGGTACGTCGTTGATCGATTGGCGAATTTCCTCCTTCCGTAAACTGGATACGCAGGTGGAACACAATTTCCGAGGGTGCGAGGGCGAGCCCTCTTAATTTCCCCCCGATCATCGGTGATTACCGTCTACACTGGGCTCGCTAACTAGCTGACCGCGATAGGGTCGTGGGAGTCGTAACTTTTAGATATTAGCATATTACGATCCTATTATTGCTCTTAGCGCTCAAAGCAAAGACACGTCATTTATGTCGGTAGGAAAGCTTTATGCGAACGTTTACGTCAGTGTGCTAATTAATGAACGCTTAAGTTAATTATCGGTGGAATAATAGAACATACAGATTATATTATTTGGAGGGAATAAAATAAAGTACAGTATAATAGATATAAAATCAAGTAAAATATGTACGGAAAACGAACTTAAAGGTATGAAGTAGTCTCCTGTTTTTTTTATCTTTCTTTTTTTTACCGTTGAACCTGTGTTACAAAAGGGCTTATAAAGAATTAGTTAGTAAAGAATAATAATATCAATTTTTCTGTTCTTCAATTCTGATAAGCTGCAAGAACTTTGCAGATCTAGCAGATGGCATTCTTTGCGAAAGAAATCCTCCAGTCTCGGAATAAATCACGGCCTCGCCTTGGTATCGACGGGCTGATCTCCTTACGATCCGATCCACGGAAACAGGATTTGTAGCAAGGATCAGCCAGGCTGACTAGGCGACTTCGGTCGCTCGGTCGAGTGGCTTGTTCGATCGTTAGACGTGGAACTCGAAAAGTTGGCGCCGAGGGAAACGACGAGTCGAACTGTGTTGCCCGACCAGCTCTCTCCCAGAGGAGTCGGGAACACACAGACGGTAGTTATTGATCAGAAAGGAGGTCCGAAAGCCGGGAGCAGCTGAGCCACCCTTATCCTTTTCCTAGGTTTCGAGGCACTGTGCACGCACGTGGCCGTCGCACCCCATTCATAAGAACCCCCAGCGAATACGAAGGCCACCCCAGCCGGAGCACAGCTGTTGCTTAGAGAATCCTACCAATGTTCCCAATTAATCGGTCTCCTTCTTCGAAACGCTCGAGACATCTCCGTTTCGCGATCTTTGCCGAAAACCGGGCGACACCGAATAGCCGAAACCAACCCCTAGTCTTCGATCCGGCGCGCGCGAGAAAATGGCTACCACGGGGTCCAACTCTCGTGGATCCGACGAACCTTGGCACATCCTCCGTCTGTGCAAGTGCGTAGCATATATTGCAGGATAGCATCGCAAACATTTTCGAGTGCTTTATTTTCTAGTTAGTTTAAGTGAAACACGAACACTCGATGTGCACACAGTATTTTTTGGGGACCCAATTTCGATTTAAAAGAATAACGTCTATGCTAAGTTAGGGGTTCTAGAAAAATCCACGTCCGAAGCAATCAAACGATCGATATGTCCACGGTATTTTTAGGGGACCCGTTTTCAATTTTAAACAATAATGAAATGGTTCTCCAGAAATCGATCTAACAACGACGTATTGATCGCGATATCGTACAAACGGGTTGAACTTATGGTAATACAATAATATAAATAATAATATTATACAGAGTGTTTCAAATCCGGAAATGGCGGGTTCCTCGGATCATTTGAAGCAACTTCTTCCTTTACAAAAGTTTTCTCCGAGGCATCGTTAACGAGTTATTAACGAAAAACTGTGACCAATAAGAATCGAGTACGGCTGACGCGAGGCGGCCCAGTCAACCAGCGCACGAAGCCCAGTTCCGCTCATTGGCTCGGTCGCCTCGCGCCAACTGAGCTGGGATTCGACCGCTTTGACCGCTGGCGCCGTTGGCTCGGCCGCTTCGCGCCAACTGAGCTGGGATTCGACCGCCTCGACCGCTGGCGCCGTTGGCTCGGCCGCCTCGCATCAGCTAAGCTCGCCTATCATTGGTCACTGTTTTTCGTTAATGACTCGTTAATGGTGCCTCGGAGAAAATTTTTGTGAAGGAAAAAGTTGCTTCAAATGACCCAAGGAACCCGCCACTTTCGGATTGAGAGACATCTTTGGGACTCTTTCTCTCTCTCTCCCTGTATTATACTTATTATTAAGATAACTTAGAGCTAAGTAAAATTTATAGTAACTTCATTATTTATTTCACTTGTCTTTTGAACATTTTATAGACTACATTTTACGACGTAAGCCAACATTTCGAAAAGCTGACTTGCACTGTTACGATCTTAACTCGCTCATATATTTCCCGGATCGATGACGAGGAAAACAGACGCGAACGAAGTTTGACGATCGTTGCTCGCCACGATCCGTCGATCATCGGTCGCATAAACTGTCCGCGGCGGCGAGAAGACGTCAATTAGATTCTAGACGAGCGTGCACCGCGTTTCCAGCCTCTCCGCGTCGAACATTTTATCGTTGATGGCCGCAACTGGAGCAGAATCGAGTCGGTTCCGGCCGCTCGGATCCAGGGCTTCGTTAACGAAGTTCCCGGCTCGTTATCGATCATTAGTTCTAAACGCGGTCCGCTCCGCCCCGTGTTCCGAATGATTTTATTTTCTACGAGGAGGACTCCACGCGAGGGTGCGGCGTTCCATGGGACACCTTGCGCTCTCCCGGCGCGGCAACCCCCGACGATATTTGCTATGGGGGCGTTATCGATCGGCCGACCCTCTGTTTCCACGGTTTCACGGCGGCCCTTATGCCGGCTCTTACGGCCCCATGCCTCGCCAAGGATAACTTAACGTCGTTACACTGTTTTCTCCAGGAGTTCACCTCGCAGGACAGCAATATCCCGGCCGGAACATCGACCGCGATGCCGGCAATCAAGGAGCGACCGGCGGCGCTTATGGTCGCCACCATTTCCCAGACTGCTCGCCCTGGAATTACCGTCGGAGCCAATTTTTCAGCTTGGTCGTTGACCCTTCGCTCACGACACAGCCGACGTTTCGTGACGCGGCACGCCCCGGGAACACGATCGCAAGCTCCCCGCGGATTTCCGTAAAAAGAATTTATGGCGATCGCCTAACATCGCGGCCGAAACGCCGAGGAAACTCGCGTGAACGCCGGCCATTCTTGTCGTCGCGAGGGGACGCCCCGGGTCCCGAGCCGTAAATCTAAATTGTTTCCTGCCGCCGAAAGGCTGGAAGAATGTCAGGCGAGTTTCCTTATCGAAGTTTCATGGTTGGAGAAATAATTTAGACGCTCGGTTCGAGACGCCGCCATAGGTTACGCGGCCCTCGAAACCAACTCACCTCTCCAACCCACTCGTCGAATCGTGTTCCGATCATCCGCATATTTCTGCTCTCCCCCCGCCATGGTTCGAGCAGTTTTAAGCACCTTGTTACAGTTAATTAACTTCGAGTTGAGCAACCAATCTCGCGGCGAAACGATGAACCGACTTTCAGTTTCTATTCCGTTCGATCGCTATCGTTTTTCTACCTGGAAGCGGATTAATAGCGTTCCGAATGACTCTGCTATACCAGGAATTCCTGTTTGGAAAAATTTATAGGAATTTTCTAGCAACGTTCCCGCTATAAATTCAATTCGCCACTGTTCGTCGTGCTACGTTCGTAAAAAATTAATTATTAATTCAATTAGCGATTTAGCCGCATTGATCCGGAGAACAGCTAATCGTTCACGTTCTAGATATAGCGTCCTACAAAAGTGTTCACAGAAGAATACAGTAATGTCTCTCTAATTG